TTACAAGTGCCAGAAGTTCGCTTCTCACTTGGCAGCGGATTGCGACGCACGACAGGACACGTGCCGCATCTGCGGAGCAGCCCACAGAGCCAGCGCTTGCACCGCCAAGGCGGTTCCCCGTTGCTCCAATTGTGACGGCCCTCACCCTTCGTCTTCGCCACGCTGTCCGCGCCGCCCACGGTCTCCGCCTGGACCGGCGCCGACAGTTCGACCGCCAGGAGCAGGACGGTCATCTCCACGGCCAGGACCGTCCCTCCTTTACCATCTCGCCGCTGTGCTGCGCCTCCTCACGGACGGCGCCCAGCGGCCGCCTCGGGGATCACGTCGGCCGCCCCGGAAACCCCCTTCTTCCGGCCCTGCCCGCCGCCCCTCTGGGGCACGGGCGTAAGTGGCCCAACCACCGGCACGCCGGCGGCGCGTTTGACTCTCGCGCGCCCCGGCCCCCGGCCGCCTCGCGCTTCGCGCGGGCGGTGTCTCGACGGCACCTTTCCTCTGGCCGCTGAGGCCCTCGCACACTCTACGCCAATCGTTGGTCAGCTCTGGCCAAGGCAGTACACCCGGAGGAAAAAAAAAAAAATACAGACACATCAATAATTTCTGTGAAATCTGTCAATTCTCCTAATTGCGTTGAAAGTAGTGTGGTAGATTAAAATTCATATCATTTGCATCCCGATTGTTTCGTTGGTAAATTTTTGTCATGCGTGCCTCTTGAAATTTAGATTAAATGTAATGGATTCTACATAACCTAGGCCTTTCCACGTATTCGCGAATGAATCGTGTCCGATAACTCAACCATTTTTGGTTTTCGTCGTTGAATATGGTCCGGCATAAAATGTTGGCCAAAACATCACGCATCGTGGCACTTTGCTCTGCGGCCAATTTCATTAACGCCGCTGACAGAGTCATCATGCCCATTGCCATAGTGCCAATGACAGATGAGTTCAAGTGGTCACTACATTGGCAAGGATGGATATTGTCTGCCTTTGCATTCGGTTATTTCACCAGTCAGGTATATTTTTTAGTCCATTTCTGGAAATGCGCTATTGTTTTTCTGTAAATCTCAATTTACATAACACTTACTTTCCCCCTCAGAACAGCTGATGTGCTTGAAACAGATTGCATCAAATTTTATTTTAACTTAACGTTTTTATGCATTTATTTTTCTTTTAGATTATTGGTGCATGTGCTGCCAATAGGTTTGGGGGAAAACTTGTCCTATTGTTTGCTGTATTCTTGTGGTCTGTGTCTACTACTATTACTCCGCTGTTGGCCACATCAGTTCCTGCACTAATTTTCTGTCGTGTCCTTCTTGGTCTTGGAGAAGGTTTGGGTAAGTATGATAAATTTTTCTTTGACCTTTTTCATTATTGATCAGATAAACCCTATTATACATTTGTTACTTTTGATTATTGCAGGTTTACCTACCATATTTCATATATTTGCTCATAGTGTTCCCATAGAGGAGAGATCTCGAGCTTTTGGATACTTAGTAGCTGCTGGATCAGTGGGACAGTTTGCTGCTTCAGTTGTAAGTGGAGCATTACTGCTTGATTCTTTGTTCAGTATTGTTCTATTGGATTTAAAATTATTTTGTTTCCAGCTTTGTCCCCATCTGGCATGGCAAACAGGCTTCTACTTATTTGGAACATTGGGAATATTGTGGGTCCTGATATGGTTAGTGCTTTATCATGACAGCTCGAACACCTCAGCAGATGACATTCCACTCTTTGTTCCCAAGGTAAATCCATCTATATCTAAAGGATAACTTGACTAAATTATTATCTGATCCTAGGACAAGTGATTCACATTCCTAACAAATAATTAAACTCTTCAGGTTACTAATCCAAATGTCCAGTGGTGTGAATTTGTGAGCCATTGGCCATTGTGGGCACTATATATTGCACACTTTGCCATGAACTGGTCAAATTACATTATAATGCAATGGCTACCCACCTACCTTGCCCGAAATCTGGGTGCAAACAAAGAAAGTATTAGTCTTACAGCTGTTCCATACGTAGTAAATTCTCTCACTGGAATTTGTAAGTTTAAAATTTCAAAAATGAGTTGTTGTTTTTCCTGTTTTTTTCTTCAATCTTTTAAAATGATTTTAAAAAAAATTGTCTTTTAGTGTCCGGCCATTTTGCGGATACATTGGTGCTTCGTCGATGGACTGTTCTCTCCGTGCGTAGGTTAATGACCACCTTGGGCCTTCTTGGTCCAGGAATTTTCTTACTAGCATTTTGTGCTGTGGACAATATGTTGGCAGCTGTCATGTAAGTAACTCACCTATAACTTAGATATTTGAGTAACCATGAAAATTGAACTAAAAAAATATTCTTATAAACATTTTTTTTTTCAGCATTGTTTCAATATCAATGGGCATGTGTGCGTGCAATTCAGCTGGTCATCTGAGTAATCATGCAGATATTGCACCCAACCATGCTGGAGTGACATTTGCTATTTCCAATACTCTGGTGAGTAAAATAATTCAAACCTAACTGGGATGAAATGAATTGTCACTCACTGACCAGCCTTTGGTTGTTTTGTTCTAGGCAACAATACCAGGAATTTTATGTGGACCTTTGACAGCCGAACTTGTGACACAATCTCATGGTCGGTGGTTCCCAGTATTTGTGTTGGCAGCCGGCATCAATTTCACTGGTGCTATTATTTATGTGAGCCAGAGCTCAGCATCACAAGTTCTTTGATAACTATAAGACATGATATTGAATACTGTCATATCAGAAATCAACTAAATTATGACCTCACTTTAATTCAATCAAGTATTTAAGTGCAAGATTAAATTTGTGTGACCCTTTGAGTACCCAATTATAGTGGTAAGAATTCTTCCTCCATTTTTCTTCTTTAATTTATAGTTCTGTGAGGGTGTGTGTGTGTGTGTGTGTGTGTGTGTATGTATGTGAGAGAGACAGAGAGAGAGAGAGAAAAAGGAAAAGAATGTGTGTATGTCTTAATTCATTTGCCAGCTTGTGATATTAAGTCTATAAGAGACAAACTCTTGAAGTAAAATGATTTATAGATATATTTCAAGGAGAACTGGGATGCCTACATTTTATACTTATTCAGTCACTAGGCGAATTTTGTAATTGACAGGGTATGTTTCAGCTGAATAAAACAACCTTAATGGGATTTTCTAGTCTTCAGGAGTCTAGAAGAGAGTAAGTTGTATGTAAATATTTAACAATAGTTTATATTGTATGTTGATGCTTGAAAACCAAACAAGTGATTGTAATGCATTTTCAATTCTGTTCTAATTGCATAAAGACACTTGAAATGTTTGTGATATTTAACTAGTTGTTTTATGTAGCTCCTTCTACCGTTTTGTGGTTTAAAGGCATTTTATTACCAACGATGTATCTCAAATAGTATGATTTTATAGTAGCATCTTACCCCCTTCCACCATGAAATAATTATTCCGTTCATCATGCATGTATCAGCGATGTAGTTGCTTCATATTTCATTTTTGCCTTGTCCAATGGTCGTAAATTAATTTTTAACTGTTCTCCAGAATTTGTGTATCATCTGTGTGTAATATTAATGCTAAGATACCTTGTTGAAAGTATAAATTTAGTTATTTCAAATGACTGTAAATAGAAAGAGAAATATTTTTTTGCTTGTTATTGTAATTTTTTTCCACGTTATTGGCCCTGTAATAAGAAGCTATTCACAGAAAAGATATTGCCTGTCAAATTTGAGAAATTAAAGATACAAAAATATTGCACTTCAGTGAAGGCATTTAAGAATTCCTTCAGAAGGAACTATCTAAATGACAATATGAGAACCTAATCTCTCAGGTATAACTTTGGCAACTTTTCTTAATTCCTTAATGTGTGTCTTAGGACACTGCATCTCGGTCCAACTGATGGGTACCATTGAAGTTCCTGAAAGAAAAGAAAAATACACCATCAGGACCTGATATGAGAGACAATATCACACATAGTGAGTCTGATAGAAGAATGGTAGTGTAATGCATGGCCGGGATAGGATAACAGCACCAGTACCATTCTTTAGTCAGTCTGACAACACTGTATTAAAAAATTAGTCAATTTGCACTTTACTACTTCTTACCGGTTTCACTATCAGCTATTACAACTCCTAACTCATCTTCAGCTGTGGACAGTTGATATGAATGTACTTCTGTCATTGGTAACTGTTGAGAAGTTAAGGAATATTTTTGACAATTCTCTGCAACTTTGACACACACATACATGCAGTACACAGATACGGGTCATGAGAAGGATACAACTCGAGCCAGAATAATATCTCCTGGACGAAAACATTTGATCATTTCCACTTTATCTTTTTCAGTTGCACGTACATCTTCTTTACGTAAAATGCCACGGTATGGCCGAGAGAGAACTGTATCACCTATACACTTTATGATACATTTACAAAACCTCTGTTTCACAATGGTTACCTGTGATTTTTTTGAAGGAAGAAGAGAAACCAAGTGATGAAGTGATAGTAATTTCTTAGCCAATGAAATCACAGTCTGAATTCTAGACAACATACCTTTGCAGTGACGATATCACCTGGAGCAGGAACTATACTTTGTTCATTACTGCTACGTACTTCAATTAGCGATGCCTAAATATGTTATGATAGGAAAAACGAAGGGATGAGATATAATTATCGTTACTATTTATCTTAATTGAAGAGGGAGATTAAGAAATGGGATATAACCTTGTCTTGTTTTTCTATCTTTACAACTCCAGCTAATGTGGCATAGATGTATCCCAAGCGTTCGTAAGTCCCTCGGCCTGATAAATGATTCTTGTCAGCGATGCTCAAGCGTTGTCCTGAAAGGAGAGAATAGCTCACTTCTTATAACTATAATAACAATTATAGTAGCATCCACCAGATGAAAAACACATGCGATTGGGGAGGTTAGATACTTTGTGGTAAAAATATTTTCACCTGGAACACAAACGAGAGTTTCTTGATCCATTTTCTAACAAACTAACAAAGTATTAGAATAAAATGCTGAAAGCGTGGTAAGTAAAACAAAACAATTTGTGAATTTCCCCACAATTTTTCGACACTGTTTACAAACACCAACATACACGTTGACGATACGCTTCCTCCCTCCTGACGGAGCTCACAACTCAAATCAAACTACAGCCGGGAGAAAGTGTGACGTCACCGAATTCCTTCGGCCCTGGGCCGGGCATGGCCTGGGCACTATTTGATAGATTTGATTGAAAATTGAAACTCAAGATTGAAACCCTTCACCTCCCTTTTCATGGTATAGTCGGCCCAGCGATACTTTGGTCTTCGGTCGGATCCCACGGCAGCGCCATTGCCGCTTATGGGAGCCGAAGACCAAAGTATCGCTGGGACGACTATATCTTTGGCTGTCAAAAGATGAAAGGTGTTAAGTGTCACAATCAATTTCGATTGCCCCCCAAAATAAACAACACAATTTAAAAGAAATTCAAAGCATTTGGTTTCATGTTTTATTACACTTCCTGAATAAATAACACAGAAGCAATTCATTATAAAAGAATTATTTCAGTATAGTCCAGTTCTACATGATTTGAATAGGAAGAAACTAAAGGTTCTTAACAGTCCAGAATTTATTGAGTCTGGCACTCAGATTTACTTCACCCTGGCATTAATGCCACATACAGATACTCTGACACATAATCAATTCACATACAGTATACAGGTCTGTTTTCTGACAAATTTCCAAAAATGTGAAATTTATTCTGCTTTCTTTCATTTACACTTTGCAATTGCAAAAAATGTGACAATTAAAGTGGCTCAAACACAATAAACTTAAAAATCCTTAAGTTTGACTAAGGGCACCCTAGTAGCACGGGCTATTTTGAAATGTTCTTAAAATCATGATTGCCACTAGGGTATTAGCTTCACACAGAAGATGTCCATGCTCTATACTTTCAACCATTATTATAAAAAGCAATCTAACATTTTTTAAAAATTCCAACTTAGGAAATGGCAAATACATTAGGTAGGAAAGGCAAGTCTAATTTCCATACAATAAATGTTTAGGATACATCTACAAACATCAAAAGAATTTACACTAAAAAAATCACAGCAATTCAAGAAAAAAATGTCTTCTGGGACAGAGGATTCCTTCCTAGATTTTGGCTGTAAAGCCTTCAAATGACAAAAGTCCTGAACAAGGATCTTTATTTTCCATAAAGCCAATTAAGGGCAATTTCACTTTTCCATGTTCAGGGCTTGAATAAATTCTTCTAATTTTTCTTGTATTAACCGGACTCGTTCTGTAAACAATAATACAAAATTAATGCTTCAAAAATAAAATCAAGCTTAGCATTTTGAAAAACAAGCTCAAACACACTCCAAGAATTTGAGCATTAGTTCTTACTTAGTTCTTCAGCTAAGAGAACTCTTCTCCCAGTGAGAAGTTTTTGTTTCTTTTCTGGATCTTGACTATAGTCTTCAAGCACTTCTTTCACTTCTTTTTCAAGACGACGGGCTAACAAAAATTTCAAATTTTGATTAGTTCTTAAACAGAAGTACATAGAAAAGAAAAAGTTTTTTTTAAAAAAGGTCAAATTGTCAATACCTTCTCTGTTCATTACTTGCTGCCTGAGAGCATTTGATGTTACTTTCAAAACCTGATGAATCCTCCAAAACATAACAACATCACTGCACTCAAGCTAAAGAAGAGGAAAAATAATTAGTTTACAAAAGTGCTCATTGCACACAGTACTGTGTAAAATAAAAACATAAAAAAAGAGAGATTCAAGGAACACAAGATACAAACCTCAGTTTCAAGACCTTGATTGTACAAATAGAAACCTTTGCGACAGTCATATGCTCGAGCAAGACTACGATTTAAGAAATGGCGCCGGAAAACAACATGCCATGTATCTCGCACATAATCATTCTCCACATTCACACCAGATCTCTGCAGATTTTTTCGTACAGCTGCTAATTCATCATATGAAAGTGAAGGTGCATGTTTCTGAAAAATTTATGAGATATCTATAGGTTTACAAAAAACTGTAATTGAAATGAAATACTGCAAGCCAGGGGTCCGTAACTTAACATACTGTATAAGCACCTCATTTATAGCTGTTAATGTTATCTTATTTGCGATTTTGTTAAAATATTTAACTAGCCAATGATGTTCGTTATGTTAAGTTACAGACCCCTACTGCAAGCTCTAATGTAAGAGCTATACTTACATGGTCTGAATATAAAACTTTGTCCAACTCGGATTTTACAGCACTCCGTTTTTTCTGTTCATCAGTTTGATAGGTCCAGTGCAGCCATCGTTCACTTCTTCCAGGTCCTACTAAATCTCTGATCCTTTCCTCGGTTCCCTAATAAGATAAATTTAAAAAAGTAACATAAGACCATCACAGAATAAAGGGTGAAAAGATTCTGAGCAAAATTTAAATAGAAGAAAAAAAAAGGTACAATTAAAAGGAAATTGAAAAAAAGAAGGAAAAACAAACATTTGTCTCTTTTATTGATACCTTTAACTTTTCTCTCAGACTTTCTTCTAAGAACTTCACTGCTAGATCCCATTGTCGTTTATCTGTTACTGAGCGGTCTTCGAGGGTGTTAAGTTGAATAACTCGCAACATTTCTGACGCCTAGTGGAAAATCATTAAATACTGATTAGAAATGAACAGAACAGATAAAAAGCAAGCACATACAAGAAAACAAGCAAAAAAGAAAAACAAAAAGGACATATTGATAAAAACCTTATCTTCCCAAGTATGGCGTTGGAATGCGTCATTAACAACAGCTTCTTTCAGATTATCAAAAATATTGTCATGGCCTTTCGATTGCTTTGCTTGGTTCATAAAATGTTGAAATTCTTCACGCAAACCTTCCCATCCAGTTTCAACAGCTCGTTGGGGTAACTGTTGATCAGCTAGCTGCTTGAGTTTTATGTCAACTGTTGTGTTGAACATCCCTTAAAAGTACAAAATTTGTTAGGGTAAGATTATATTCTGTTTGGACTGTATATGAAGACTTACTTCATTTAATTTGGATGTACCTGCATCATTTGTTTGAGCTGCTGGAAGGTATATATTTTCAAAAATATGTGTATTAACTTTTTGCCAAATCTTTTTCATAAACATTTCCTCCCACTGGAGAGGTGAAACTTGACTCAGGTTAACAATTTCATCCAAGATTTCGCCTCGTGCTTTTTCAAATAATTCATCTCGGTCCAACTCTCTCAGCCTGTTATCAAAAATTAGGAAAATTATATGAGGCGGAAGTTCAAATACTATACAATTAAAATTTCACAGGCTTCCTGTCAAACTAAGAATTCAACCTAGGAAAGTTGTTCTTCCATTCAGTCTCCAAATTAAATCTTGTAGCTTTGAAGGCATCAGCCTGTTGCTCAACTGTATCACGAACCATCTTCCAAAAGCAATCTGCTACAGCCAACGTTAAGTTTCGAGTTGTGACTTGACTTGAAAGAATGCCTCCATCTCTGCAGGATAAAATGAGATTAGAAAATGGAAAATACTACGTAGCTATTGTACAGGACAAAATTTACTTACTTGAAAAGTTTGGAACTGCGGAAGAATGTTTGCTCATAATCACGAATAGATTGGATTGATTCATCTTTTCCACCTTTTCCAGTTACCACGGCATAGTACCCAAGAGCCTTCATGGGAAAAAGACGGCCAGCCAGTATTTTTTTGATCTGGAATCCAGGAATACAGATAATTATATCACAGTGGGAGAGTCAGAACTATGTTTTGTTATGAGAAGTTGACATACTCTATCTGGATTAGTGAGATTTTGTTCTGCCAGATCAACTTTAGTAAGAACAAAGATAGTTCTCCTCCCTTGCGGATCCATTTGAGACACAAGGTCAGTCACATTACTACGCTCTGCATCAACTGAACCATCTTGAATACAAAGAATTATAGCATTTGGATTTGACATGTATGTCTGTGTCATCTGTCTGATGGCATCACGAGTATCAGTGGCCATGTCAACAGTCTGGGTCTATAAAACAAAAAAAAGGAAAGTAATACAGTGACGAAATTAAGAAGCATATTTCAGTTAAAAATGAACTGGGGGAAGAAATAATGCTTACACTAATAATTCCAGGTAAGTCCACAAGCACCATTCTTCGAAGACCAGGCCCTCTCACTGACATAGAGATTACTTCATTGCTTACAGTTTTGCCCCCGAGAACACTATTTTTCATACGAATTTCCACCTATGGAAAAAGAATACAAGATTGATACACTTTTACTCTGTAGAAGTACGAATCAGGCATTTATCTGGGGCAGTGGTGAAACTAATTGTACCTCCCGTCTCAGATCGGCAAGATCTGATTCTTTGCTCAGATCAAACTCACGAGCACTGTCTTTAAATTCTGCAATGTGATACGGTCCTTCGCTGAGGGTTACTTTCACTGGAGCCCTTGTCATCATTTCTCCAGCACCCCTAAAAATTAAAAAATTCAAAGATTTTAATTTTTTTTTTCTAGAAGATAGAAGATGATAGTGGTAGAGTTCAGGCAGAAAAAAGGTAAATAAGGTCTTACCTAGGAAATATACGTGCTTGTGCTATCATCTCAAGAACAGAGGTTTTACCAGAACTTTGATCTCCTACAACAACTACTCTTGGGAGATGATCTTGAGTTTGATAACTGGTATCATAATCACTCAATTCATCCAGAACTTCTGAATACATATCAATAAGAGATTTCTAAAACATGAAAAAAGAAAAAGTGGAGGCACAATGAGTACTTTACTCATAAAAGACTTCAATTACAAACACGTCAATACTGAAGCAAAGAATTGTATGATACCTTTAGTTTCTTCGTATCAACCTTGCTCCCTTTCAGTAAAATTTGTCTTCTTAGCTCCTTATTTTCTTTCTCAAGGCGTTCCAGTTCCTTTTGGTATTTGAGCTGTATGGCAATAAGCTCAGACTGCATTGCTTCTAATCGTTGTTGAGACGTCTCTGAAATTTTAAAGAAAACAAGAAATGTTTCTACAGAACTGAATTAACCAGAATTAACTTCACGGATATTTCAGATAATTCAAGGAGTAAGCAAACTGAAATCAACACCGAACACTTCCGTTCACTTGATTGACTTAAAGCTGTTCTGAACTAGATTTATTGTAACAGCATTTCTTAGCCATTAATTGTTAATTTAAATGGGACTTGAAAACAAAACTATTTAGTACTTCATGCACTTTATGCCAATTACGTGCTCAGCAAAATGCAAAGGCAAAACAGATGGCGTAAACAAGTATTGACAAACATTGCACACAAGCAAAAAAATTAATCAATAGAAGCTTCAAGCAGCAAGAGGTTAATCTTTGATAACTTATAAAAAAAAGAAAGAAAGAAAACAAACACCCAATCTGAGAATTAGTACATGGTGAGATTGAGACCATTCACAATGTTCACTTCTCACCTTGTTTACGTCTTTCTTCATCTGCACGAGTGAATGGGGCTGCATGAAGGACAATGTCACTTTTTACCCCTGCCAAAGACATTTTTTAGCTTTATTAATTATTACTTACAGGCTGATAAGTAACATTCAAAAATGGAAAGTAGTACGATTGTTGAAACCAGTAAAATAAGCCCATACGTAATGGCAGGTTTAACACGGAGTTAGTGCTTTCAGAACAGAACAAGATTTGAGCGGGGCAGAACAAATTAAGAGGGAAGAATGAATGAGGTGTTTCAGAAATGGAACAGAACAAAGTTACCTATGTTCTGTACGGCAGGGACACCTCCTGCCAACCCCGTTGTTCCGTTCCGGAAATTTTGTTCTGTTCCCGCTCATTGCCATCAAAATAAATGCCTGTTCGCACCCAAGACTTTGTTCTATTCCGTGAAGAAGATTAAGGGTCAGGCAAACAGTATTTGTTCTGTTCGGCACATTTTTCATTCTATTCCAAACGAGCTCCATCATAAACTAGGCATTACCACACATTTTTAGAGATTCAGCAGTGACAGTAGGCTTCTACTTCCAAATAAAAACAAATAATCTACTTCGAAATTTCACAAATAAATTTTAGCAAACCAAGAATAAACAGCAGATGGCAAAGAGATAAGTTTTGGATAAGAAAAGCAAGCAGTAACATCTACCATACGTTTTATCTTTTATAAGATAGATAAAGAATAATAAAAATAATAATAAAAAAAGCAGACGAAATAATTTTAAAAACTAGGATTTTATCATTTTTATTTCAAAGTACTGTGCCATTTTGCTGTACAGCAAACTACTTCTGAATTCATTATGTATATTGTTTATATGAAGGCATGTACACATACCTGTAACAAGTTGGCCTAAATGGTCCACCAAATTTTCAACACCTATGAGAAAAAATAAAGAGGAGGAATAGAAAATAAGAATATTCACTTAAGATTTTAAAGCAAAGTGCAAATCTTTCATATTTTGTGTATTAAGGTATCAAAAATAGGCATTAGGATACACAAATGTAGAAACAAAACAAAATTGAAAACAGCAGTGCAATTACTTGCCAGGTAAACCTTATTCCCCCAAAGCTCAATCAAAAGTGAAGGCGTAAGGTTAATTCTTAATTCATCGTATGTACTTTGGGAAAATTTTTAATATAGAAAAACTACAATTATTTGATGAAGCAAGCAGTATTGATAGTTTGTGAAATAAAAGAGAATATTCGGTTAAACTTTAGTTTCTGAGATGGTTTTCATGCTTACTACCAGTCAGGGAAATGTAACTTTAGGCTAAGAAATGCATACAACGACTACAAATTAGATAAGATGAAGTATGATACACCACCCTCTCAGAATGCGTACCTTTATTACTGTAATCTCCTTAATAAAAACAGATATGTTTGTAAAAATGAAATTGCTTACCACTCATAAGTCTGGAAGAGCGAACATCTCCTTCCTCCTTGCTTGCAGCCTCAATAGCATTTTCTAGCTTCATATCCCACCACTCTTTCATATTTTTAACTTTCTCTTCACCAAGAGTACGCAATCTGGGGTCTAAAAAGTAGAAAACAAAGAAGAATTCAGGATTTCTAAAAATTACAGGAGACTTTGACATATTGAGTCCAACATGATCTTTAAAACAATCACAGGCATCAAAATGCTTCAGGCTCAACATATTAACAACTAAAAAAACAACAACAACAAAGAACTAACACACATACCTAATTCAATGTTTCCAAGGTTTCCAACAACTTTATCCCGAATACCCTGAAGTGATGTGAATACAGAATCAATTTTTTCTGGTTCAGGATAATATTGTTCAAGCCATGACATATCAGGAAGAACTGGTAGGCTTTTTTTCCACTCATCATAAGACTACAGGACAGAAATACATTTATAACATTGTTGCATAGGAATCTATCATAAGAATTAAGATACAAGAATAAAGTTATACCTTGCTTAGACTCATTCCCCCACTAATTGCTCCACCCAGAACAATGTAACGCAGTTTTAAAACACCTCGTATTGCTCTAGCAATAAGCATGCCTACCCCACGAGAAGGAACTGATACTAAAGAAATTGGTTTAACACGCAGTAGTGACGCATGACTGTTCCTTCCTAAGTTGCGTTGAGCACAGACTTGACTAAAATATCGCATATCTTTGGACATTGGGGTATCATAGAGAGCAAACAAAATACTCTTTCTAGATACTTTGGTGAGTCCTCCATTGTAGACAGCCTTTGACACATTACCACCAGATATCAGATGAGTTTGGGATAACAGTGGTTTCGAACGAATCCGGTGGCACGAACGTTTTAGTAGTACAACCGCCACTCTACAAGAGACAAGAGAATATTTTGCATGTAATTAAAGATAAAAAGAACATACAAGATATTGTGGGTAGGTCATGGAGTCCCTGTGGAAAGCACAAGAAACTTCAGCCGCTTTGACAGTCGACATTTCAACTACGACAGGGCGGAATCAAAAATAAAAATCGAAGTAATCATAAGTAAAATCATCACTTTACGGCCAAAGGGAACAAAAAGTAGTGATTTCTGCCGGTCGCATAACCTTAAGTATGTATTTCCACTTTCCTAATAATGCCGGGTTAAGAAAAATCGTTGAATGCAATAGTGATATTTTACTGGCCGCGTTTTTATTACGACCAGTTCTATTGAAGCTTTCGTTTAGAGACGTTATAATATACACAATGAATTGAACATGAGTAGGTTATGACACCCCCATGTGTAAATGTCCACACTCACCCAAATTTTCCACGAGGTATAACATCCATTGTGCTGACAGAGGATCAATCCTTTAGTGTTTGTGAGGCCCTTATAATGCTAAAACTGCCATAAACTCCTCCAGTTTAATCTTTAGGGACATTTCGTCAGCTTGGCCCTAGTACTTGTCTTGCTTGACACTGTCGACTTACACTGCCTCTGTGATCACATTCTTTCATTCATTCTCATTCATTGAGTTGCTTAGAGTCCACAAGGCCGAGATCAGGCGGGATGAAGTCGGTTGTTCAAGGTTCAACCCTACCCTATAGTTCCTTCTAAAGGGCCTTCTTGCGAATTAGAGGCTTGTAAATGGGTAAATCTTGAGACATAAAGGTAAATGGTAAAAAAAAACAAAAAACGAAAAAAACAAAAAAAACAAAAAAAAAAACAGGTTCAAATAAAACAGATAAAAGGCAGCTTTGATTTTTTTTTTTACAATAACACAGTTTATTAAAATTTATCACATTGCAGAAAGAAAGTGGATATTACATTGCCAACAGTTTCAATCCTACTTCCAGTAATTAGATACCTAATAGTTTCACTTGATAGAAGGAAAAAATTTGAGTATGAAAATCAGTCACCACAATTATCAAACTTGTTTCCTATTGTTTGTACCATGCAATACATGAACTTGTTTTGTGCAAGTTATGCAAGGGAAACAGGAACTTTAAATTTAACTAAAATAATGATTCAAACCTTAATAATTTGAACAGATGTAATATTTATAATGGAGTCTACTGTAAGCTATCTTGATGATTGAGATCATTCACAGCAGCTAAGAAATAAATTTGATATCGAAAATTTTCCTTCAAAACACAAATACAAAGTAAAGGGTTTAAACAAACTGGAATTAAAAGCAACTTAGAAATATTTCAAAGGCAAATGAAAAACGAAGAGGATAGGAGGAAAACAACAGAAACAACACATAAGCAGTTTGAGGGAGATCATCTAACTGTAAACTTAAGTAGAATGATTTTCGACAACAAAGCTATATGACAAAGTATAAGCAATTCATCGACCAGCAGTCCTATGAGAGACAACAACAGCTTTCAGAGAAATAGAAACAAATTTATTACAAAAATGACTGCTGGGTGCTTGGGTCTATGCTGAGACAAATGCAAATGTTTGAAGTTTCCACAACCCCATTTCCCACAAATGATTGATTGATTAATTAGAAATTAAATTACAATGTAAGTTTTATCTTCTTAAATATTTGAAATTTCCACAATTTCCCACTGTTAATTAATTAATTGATTGATAACTTAAATTAAGCTGTGTCGGTTTCATCTCCTTCCGACTCATTGGCATCTGAATCATGGGTAAGACTAGCCATTAAGTCTCTCACACTTTCCATTAAAGTGCGCACTCTTGCTGTTACATCATTTAGTACACCTCCATCTTCTTGAACTTCCTCATGATTTTCATTTTCATTAACTAATGCCTCACTGGAAAAAAATAAAATATACTTGGAATAAACAGAACAAGCATTTAAATAGCATTATACTTCATAATTATGACATTTTAATCTTACGCTTCATCAATGTTGAAATGTGGCAGTAACGACCGAAAGAAATTAGTGAAAACATTTGTTTCAACAGGCAAGCGTGAACGTTGAGGGCGGGTATACAGATCAACAGAGTCTGATGGAGGTAATGGATCAAGAGACATGATAGGGCCAAGTTGATTCTGTGGGAGCAATTAAGCAAATTTAAAGATTAGACCAAAGTAGAAACTCAAATTTAGGATTGCCTACAATCCGTAGAAATAGCTGAGAAAAAACAAATTTTTGATGAACTTACTGCAGGTAACCCTTGAGGTGTTAAATCCTTTCTATCACATAAGAATATGTATCTCAAAATGTTTCTAGGTGGTGTCCCAGCATACCGTATGCCTCGCTTTTTTTCTGCATCAATGATTACAGGATCATTTGAAGTAACTCTATCCAATACAGTGTGAGCATTTCTCTGCAGCCAGGGAAGTAGCTCAGGTTCTTTCCAAACATGATAACTTTGAATAACATAAAGCTGGATAAGTTGTCCAAGAGCTTGACTTTCACTGTAAATTAAGGGAGTTAGATATAAAGCCTTTTACCAAACTTAAAACACATTTTAAGTAAACAGAATGCAATAGTACTTTTTATTGGACTCCAAGGTGAAGAATGGATGTGATGACATTTTGGAATCCACAACTACAGAGCACTTATCCAAAAGTTGTTGGAGTGCACCAGGAAACATAATTAAAGCTTCCTGAAGCATTTTATCTGCGAGTGATGAGTCACCTGAACCATTCTGAGACTGAGATAATTGGAAATGAGCCAAAGCTACAGAAAAAGCAAAGTTTGGAAGCTGTGACAGATTCCTTCGAGGTTCCCACTCTTCAAAAAAGTCAATCTGAAAAAGACAAGAGTACCAAATATAAAATTATCCGAAATGTACCACATACTCAGTATAACAACTGAGGTGAGTTTTAGGTAAGTTTAAGAGACCCAAAATAATTTACTTACAAGCCATTGATACTCCCTAGCTCTCAAGGCATAAAAGTCCATTGCAAGAATGATGGCTAGAGGATCTTGTTCTGGATCAAGAGCAAGAAGTAATTTGCAGAATTCAAGTGCAGTTCGATAGCAGGCACGTCCTCCAACAAACAGTATATGTTTGAATAATGCAACATACAAAGACCTGGGAAATGATAAGTAAGGATTTTAATTTATGAAAGATAGAAACTTGCTGTTTACTAGACCACAATCAATCCAAACCTGTTTTGCTGTCTTTTGTAATCAAGTCTACAAGTCCCTAGTGCAACATTGAATGAGGGGTGAAAGGCACACTCGAGAGCAAACAAAGCTCTCTCAACTAATTCTGCAGCCATTGCCAGATCCTCACTGAGGCGGCATATGTCTGACAGTTGTAGTAGAGAGTTGACATGATACGGATGCATGTTGACCACAGCCTGAACAAAATAGAAACTTAGAAACAAAGTTGACAATACCACTAGAAGATTAAACCCACGAGGATACATACCACAATATTATCTGGACGTAAACTTTCAACAGCATCTAAGAATTTCATCTCCACAGCTTGGTAAGCAGGATTGTGATCAAGTGTGAAATACATCATCCCATCCTTTGTTTCCAATAACTTCATAGACAAACCTAAGAAAAATAGTTGTTGTTCAATTTATTTGTTAATTATGAAGGAATGTAACATATGTAATTTGGTTATTTGTTTGTCAAATAAATTAACCTTGTTTTCCAATTTGAGGCCAATTCTCTTTGGCTGTCACAAGCCAAGTGGACTTTAAAGTACGGACTCTTTGATTACGCTTTTTCCTATACAGTAAGATACAATTCAGATTAAAATATGTATAAGCGAAGAAACCACAAGGGTGCTCCCACAATGTCTTCACTTAAGTGAAAACTACTTTTTTTTCACAAGGTGTGTACATATGCTTACTTTAATTGAACTGAAGACAAAGTGAAGAAAATGTGGGAGCACCCAAACTTACGATTCATAAAAATACAGACCTTGTCTCGGCTTGAATAATTTTTGAACCAAATATTCTTTTGAGTTCATTACTAGGATTTAGATGTTTATGTTCAACTCCAAGAGAGCATTTGCGGCTACCAAAACCTGTTGTATTGTAATCCTGGTTTATGGATGGAGCAGGTGCAGCTTCACCCAGAATTCGGTTAACTTCTTTCACAGACCTCTCTACTTCATCATCCTACATACGTAAAACATAGTAACCCAGTTAAATAATGATGATGGAAACATATGCATTAAGGTATATGAGTGCAAATGGATACCTCAATGTTGTCTTCACTACTCCTTGCATTTTGATGCTGTCTGGTTGATTTCTTCCTCTTCTTTTTTTTCTTCCTCTTACCAGCGTCTTGTCCTGTTTGATCGGCTTGAGCAAGGGATGCCTCTGTTTCATGGTTCTCTTCGGCTTGTCCTTCAGATTCAGATGGCGAATTAGATTCATCAAGCAACTGTAAAATAAAATTTGACAGAATGTCACTTTTTGTGAATATAGAGACGTCTTAGGACTTGGTACAGGATATGCTCGGTTTTGGTACAAACCCAAAGCAAATTGAACCATCAATAGCAGTAGTTTAGTAAATAAGAAGTAACACAGAAGTAACAATGTACTATCTACGGAAAATAAGCAAACTAGCTCTTTGATAATCCAAAATTGTTAATGCAATCGCACAAGATGTAAATATATGATATAGTTTGAAGCCAAAGTGAAAGGTTATAGCAACATCTTAAAAATGATATTAAAGAAGAAATATATTTGTCTCGCAAGTAAAACAGATGAATCAACTTGGGTGCATACCAAATCAAATGGATTAATGTTGGTCTTTTTCTTTGTTCCTCCTGTAAATGTTACGGCTGTGTCCTGGTCCTCAGCACCATCGCTATCCCCATCAGCTGCTAATGCGGCCCCCGGTATTTCCAAGTTCTTGTCACCGTGGAGCTTCCGGATAACTCGAGAAGACATCTTTTGTGAGTCTTACAACTTCATACCAAGCACATAAAGAAAGTCAAAAGATGACAGCTAAACCAAAATAAAAACACGTCGGTAAACTTATCCTCTACGTGTGTCGTATCTCGGTCTCGTTTTACCCCCTCCCCTACCCCCCGCCTGCCCCCGCCAACGCCAAGAACAACAGAAGTGGGAGGACTGCGAGGCCAGGCCGGCCGTTTAGCAGCTGTCTCTTTCGGGCGCGGGTTGCCTAGATGTTAGGAGAGCACCCCGTAGCGGACATCGCTTGTGACGGACCCGTCGTTTCCCCCCATTTCGTATACACATTTCAATCAAAGAGACTGCCACAAAATCTCTTTCCAACTCTCGGTTGTTGTACTGTATATTTACCATCACTCGAAAAGCTTTCCATCCTTCTGCACCAAAAATGCGACGAAGAAGCGAGTCTCAAAGTAGGCTATTTTCCCACAAGATTCACACAGCGCGCCGCCCGCTCCGGGGGTACTCTCCTAACATCTAGGCAACCCGCGCACGAAAGAGCCAATGGCTGACGGCGGGCTGTGAGCGCGGCCGGGCAGTCCTCCCACTTCTGTTGTTCTTGCTCTCGCCCCGACCCCGACAAACTCGACCAACAGTTGTGTCGTCTGCTTGCTTTGGTCTCGCGAAGGTGCGAGTATGAAGTTTGCGCCCTTAGTTATGTCGTTTGTGTTTGATGGCCTCACAACGAACGTATTTGACACACAAGAGAAGTAATCTTGGTGAGTTATTTCATTCACAACAACAGTCTCTATGCTCATTTCGTTGTCAAGGGAGTCGTCTAACCTGATCTAACCCCGACAACCCTGAAAGTTCTTGATGGTCAGTTCCAAAAATAAAACTTGATTTTTTTTCAAAGGGTTAAACCGTAGTCGGCGTCTTTGACATGTGCGCGTAGAGTCATTCTGAGGCGCGCTGTTAAATTTGTTGTTTAGCGCAGTCAATTCCATTTCAAAGCTAGATTGAAAATGTTAAATCATTCAATCTTATTTATACACCGCCCACGGCGGCAGCTTCGTGTAACCCGTGTAACCTCGCAACCTGTCTCGCGCTGAAACGTTCCTGTTTAATGCGCATTGTAAAAAGTGGTCAGAACATCAAGTTGTAATTATTTTTTTCAGGTTAAAGCAAAATGAAATTTGCAGAACATCTTGGGGCTCACATCACGCCCGAGTGGCGGAAGCAATACATCAACTACGAAGTATTTTCCAATAATCCTCATATTACCCTTTACCACTTTATTCTGTCTGGTCGTCATTTACTGTCTTTACCCCTTATGCTCCTCCAATTTTCTTGTCATTTACTATAGGAAATGAAAGCCATGCTGTACCTGGCCGTGGAGCAGGCACCATCGGCCGAAGTAGTAGAGCCTGCAGTTGTGCGAGCCTATTTTTCGCAATTTGACGAAAAATTCTTCCACTACTGCGATAAGGAGCTCGCGAAAATCAACACCTTCTTCTCTGGTAAGTGCTGTTTAAATTTTGAACGCGGGAGGAGATCGGGGATGTCGAACTTCATACGAAACTACGTGTCGAAAAGGCAAAATAATCTACGGCCGGAATGCTATTCGCGTTTCAAACAGACGACGGTGGCGATCAAGCGGCCGCCACACGAACTAATTTTCAGGTGACCAGATGAGGTTAAGGGAATTCAATCGTATAGGAATACACGTGCAGTGCGGGTCGCTCTCTATCGTCTTCTCCGGTTTATTTGTGTTGTTATAATGGCCCCTTTACTTGTATTGGAACATGTTTTTCACGCCCAGCAAGGTTTTCTTCGGCCTTTGGCCGAAGGAAGACTTGCTGTTGAAAATATTGTCAGTATTGGAGTGAAGAGCCGGCGCGCTGAACTCGTCGAGATACAGGCAATAGTAGTCCCGAGTACTAATGTAACAAAAGACCCATTTACCGTGGAGGTTTCTATAAATACTAAAGAAGCAATCGTCGAAAAGAAGATAACGGCAATAAGCTGTTCTTGTGCGGGCGGTGCCTGTAAAAAGCATTGCTGTAAGCATGCGATGGCAGTCATCATCAACTTGGAAAGGTAGGCTTGGGCCCCAATAAGTTGCTTTGTTCTTTGTACAATTTTCAGATTATAATATTTCCTTCATGTTACAGGCTAGATGAGTCTGACATTGATACTCTCACATGCACGGATACGAATCAAGCGTGGGGTAAGCTCAAGGAGGGAGCATTGAGTAAGTTTGATCCTGCTGCCCTGGACACTTTCTGCCATGTTCCTAAAGTTGTGCCGGTCTACCGTCGAAAAGTGGAACCAGTTACTGAAGAGCTAGCAGATGAGTTTGAGAAAGCTAGTCTGGCATTATTGGAAAACTCAATGGCTGCCAAGTGTGAGAAGAGGCAGCGAAAAGCAGCACCAGCTCCAGCTCAGCCCAGTCAAAGGCGCCTTAGTTTCTTCAACCATGTGATTCAGCAGCAACATAATCTAGTCATTAGAGTACATGAGTTAAGTTTAAGTATGTTAAGTAAGTGTTCCCCTGCTGAGCAGGAATATTATAGGGAAAATGTTGTTGTATCTGAAGTGGAGGCCCGCAATATATTTTTAGACAGCACAGGGCAAAACAATGCTGTCTGGGATGCTGCCAAATATGGAAGAGTGACGGGTAGTATTTCGTATGCACTATATACATATTATAAGAATAAAAATCCTGATTGGGGAAAAAAAATTGAGTCTGTATTTGGGTCTAATATTACTAATGATAGTATGGCAGCAGGAACATTCTATGAGCCTTATGCTTTGAAGAAGTATTTGCTTGATGAGAACAAGAAGGGTTTTGGTATTGTAGACTCAATGCAGGTGGGTATAGTTGTAAACCCACTGGTTCCATGGCTTGGTTACAGTGCTGATGCCATTATTTACAAAGATAGGAAAATGTTTAAATTGTGGGAGAATAAGACACCTGTTAAAGGCCAGATAATTGGGGCATCAGATATATGTGACCACTTAGCTTACATTGACCAGTCTACTGGTCTATTGAAAAAAAAGAATCAATATTATGGTCAGATTCAACTCGGGATGGTCCTGCTGAACATTCCTGCCTGCGATTTCTGTGTTTATTGTTCTGGAAAAGTTGAAAAGTTGCGTCCACCAAAACCAGACTTGGAGTCTATCCACTGTCAAACTGTAGTCTTAGATCAGTCATTTTGTGCTAATTATTTAGAAACTCTCTGTCGTGTTTATTTTGAAAAAATTTTACCTTGGCGGGTTCAAGAACAGATTAAAGCCTCATAACTAAAAGTAGAAAAAAATTGTAAAAATTTATTTTACCTTTTTATCTTTTGACAATTACAGAAATTTGTCATCAGCTAAAACTGGGGGACTAAGATTCACTAAGGCACACACAATCATGAGAACATCATCAATATATGGTGTCAGTCTCCACTGAAGCTTATTTTTAAGCATAGAGTATTCCCTAATTCTTTGAATAACCCTCTCTACATGCACTCTTGCTCTTGCAATTTTAGCACACTGCACTGCTTCTGCTCTAGTAAATTTCCCTTTCTGCCTCAGAAACGGGGGACGAATCATGGTGAGTAAATACTTTTGACACTCATCCTCTATAGCAAATCCTTTATCAACCATAATAGCATCACCAAACTCACATAATTCATACAAGCCTGAATCAGATGTAATGAATTTATCAGATGCTCTTCCACCGTAAGCTTTGCTCACTTTGGTTATTGCACCTCCTGGGGAAACACCCAGTAAAACTTTAACTGTATAATTTTTCTTGTACTGCGAATACAGACGTACTCTACACCTTACACACTTGGGTTTCTCAACATACAATTCAAAACAATCAAGCACTACTCTTGTGTTCGTAAAGTAAGAAAAACATTTTGGCATATTATTTAATATTATGTCTTTAGACTGCCATTTGACAAAACATTTAAATAGTTGTGCCAACACTTTGACAGTGTCATAAAAATAATTGCAAACATTTTGGACGCTTTTCTCAAAAAATACACCTAACGTAGAAAAATGCAAAGCCAACTTAATTTTCATCATACACAGCAAAATACGGTCTCTTGATGATAAATGGAATGGCTTTCTAGGATTTTCAGGAGCAATTTTATCAAAATATATGACAACAGTATCAAGGAACTCCACTGATGGCAACCCAGTTGTAGAAAATAATTTTTCATCACTACTTGTCAGGCTACTCACAAATGCTTCGGTGGGCACATATGTACCTACTTGTACCCCAGTAGACTTAAATTTTTCGATGTCTTCTTCATGCACTTCTGGCACATCGATATATCCATCCTGGGGCTCTTCATCTTCATCTGCACTGGAGGTTTGATCGTCTACAATGCACAAAGTTTGATATATAATATCACATGTTCTACAAAAATGGAATGAAAAATATTGCACTACAGGTAAAGGGCACAGGTAACTTTGAGAAGGTATAGATTGCATTTGAAGGGGAAACTAACTAGAACTATCACATAGCGACACCATATAGTACAGATTATATCTGAAGTAGAAAACTAACACTAAGCACAACCAATTTAAATTAAATAAAAAAAAATAGTACGGAACACAAAAATGTACGAACAAGACTAAACTAGATATGTTACATATTAATCACAACTACCTATCACAGTCAGATAACTTATCACTACATGCTGTACCAGTGGAATCAAAAGATTCTCCTCGTTCCAGTCCATCTTGGTGGTCGCCACACGCAAACATAGCTCGTTTCTTGGCCCTGTCAGCCCTGGCGGCGCTCTTCCGTTTTTGAGGAGACGACTTAACGTTCTCGTGACTGCGGACAGGCAGATTCAGCGAAGGTACGGCGGTTTTCTTCAGCGAACGTTTGCCTGCAAAACAAAGCATTAGACAGACCAACAGAGAGCACCCTAACCTGACTTTCAGACACTGTTTTCGGCCCATTACAGATATTTCCACTTGAATTTACTTACCCGTCGGGAGGAAATCTTCTTCGCGAAAGTGTTTGCTGCACACACGCATGCTAGTGGTCAATGTTTTAGCCGTTCTAATGGCTTCAGCCCATCTCTTCCTTCGCACTGGATCTGATGGTGCATAGTGCAGGGATATCGACGGATTTAACTTCTCTGGGCATTGAGGGACACAACAATTATGTCTTTCACGTTTCTTTTTAATTTTTTCGGTTTTCTTTGTGTACGAATGATCCATGACTATACACCACCACGATAAATTTCGCGAAAACGAATGAAATTGTGTGCACGCTACGGCAGCGTGCCTGTGTCGCTTGCGGTGACAGCTGTCAGTGTCACCTATCTATTAGTTCACTCAACGGCCGCTC